GCCCAACCCTCCAACCCCCGCGTACATCCTTACCTGTTGTTTTGCGGTCGGTGCTTTGAGTAATAACCTGGCATACATTTGAATACATTGCGTCATATCTTCATCCGTGTATTCATTAAGAGAAGATGACCCCTCGTCACAACATTCAGAATCCCAAATTCGTTGCGCTAGACGCAAGGCTGCTGCAGCTCGTAACGATGGTGGGAAACTAAGAATACCCGTAGTACAAAGACTTAAATCCATCAAATATCTCCCTAAATGGGCCACCTATAGTAAATAAAACAAAAATTCGCTGAGAATACAAGAATAACTGAGCATTTTGAGGATGTACTCAAAAGAAATCCACGGTAAGAATTGCATTTCATATATTAAACAATCATCGTCCCTACAAGAACAGTTCACTATAGTGTTACCCCACCCAAACCTTAAGAATTTAGACGATTACCACAAGAAACGAGACAAAACTAAAGGTAATCTGAAATTGCCATTTCTGGAAATCGAGCCACTCCCACCCCTCAACATTCGGTCGGTGTCCTCACACTTTTAATTAGATTCGTGAACACTGAAATGAAGCACATTGTATACACATGGCCGTCTGACGGTCTTCTGAAAGTATCTTCTCTTACCCTCGTGTCTTCTGAGCATGATAGCATATCAAAGAAAGTGGTTGATGTGGGAAGAGAAAGACCAAATCTGATTTTTCTGAGCACGATGATTTCCATACGCAAGACCATGTTCTTGGAGTACGTGTGATCGGTAAGGTAACAGAGAACTGCGATCTACAAAGGAACATTCATAACAAACAGTAGGTCATATCAACCAAACAATAGAAATCTAATACAAATAGTATTAAGTTAAAACGTCAGTGGCAGCTATGAGTCATTCTCGTATCAAACTCGAAATTAAAGTTTAAACTATTTGAGGAAATTCCTTGCATATGCAGGAGATTGAAACTAAACTCGAGTACCAGGTGAAAAAATAAAATAAAAATCAACGTTAAGTCAAATTTACTAAATACCTAGACTGTATAAAAATGTCATCTTGCATACTCATTTAAACAGATATTAGACTTAATTAATGTACCCAACCAGACGTAGTTTACCACAAGTCGAAAAGAGAAAATTAAAAAGCCAAGAATACAAAATAAATGGCTGATAATCTACAAGACCAAACAAAGTTACCTGACAGGTGCATTACACAACAGTCAAATCAGTAAGATACGTGTTCGAACAGAGCGAGCACATTTTACTTCGCATGTTGCACCCGCAATGGAGTCATAATCAAATGGTTGCTATGACATTGGTGCCATCTGAGAACACGTGCAACAACCATTTGAATATTCAGGCAAGTTTTTTTAAATGCCTGTATATGTACTACAAGCTCGGACATAGCGATCAGTTCGGCAATGTATACCCCACAGAGAGAGTGATATTGCTGTAAAGGTGGGGAAATTTATGATAGTAAAATTTGAAAAAATCTTCCTAAAGTCAGCTGGAAAGCTAGTCAAATTCAAATTGGAATATATTCACTGTTGATGAAAAGTCCAGTGAAAATATCTGAATGTAAAATTAAAGGATCTTGCGTCTCTTTACTGTAACTACTGTTGAAATTCAGCTTAATAAGTATAAAAGAATAAATCTATCAGTAAAGAAGCACAATTTGTTTTCATTTCAATGTCGATAGCTGACAAATGTATTTTCCCAACTCGACAAAGATGTTAAATTCTAGCACAGATGATAGGCGTAACCTTCAGTGTAGACACGTTTTGCATCAGTCTTGTTGTGGTAGAATTGTATCAATCACTATCCCATGCAAAGCAGATGATCGAGATTCCACATTTGAAAACTTCATATTTAAATTGTATTAACAAATTGCCCCAATCGTATGCGTGGTATCGAAATTACGTCATGTACGAAAATACTTAGCGATTCTATACAATTCAATAACATTTGATGCACTGTATAGATTTTATGGGGGGAGGTCACGCATAGGAAACAATTTTGAAATCTATTTTCACATTACAAAAAACAGACCGATAACATTTTGGATATATAAAAAATGGATTTATAAAAACCTTGGAATTTTGGATATATAAAAAATGGATTTATAAAAACCTTGGAATTTTGGATATATAAAAAATGTAAATTGCAAACTTTGCTTGTCCGATTTAAAATTTGACAATTTAGCGAGAAATGAACGAGTTCAAGTCGATTTAACATTTATATAGCAAGATCAGTTCTCGAAATAAATTTGTTCAAAGGACAATTTGTTTTCCTCATTGCAAACTAGGTATAGGCCACTTTCTAAGAAGCAGCGAGACTGGGGTGCATGGCGTAAAATACAAATGCGTCAGTTTGCCGAGAGTCGATAGAAGAGAATGATGTAAATTGGTGTACTCCGACACCGTCATTTAACCCTAATCCTCTCAGCCTCGTGTACTTGTACATTGATTAATTGAAGTCGCATCTATGTTACGACACGCTTTTTATAGGATTACCATCTCAAACTAGCAAATTTAAGCGCCGATACAACCCCGGGGGAACAAGCAGGCGAGTATATTAATTAACAATATGCAAACTCGTGTTTTAGCAACACCAGTAAAAGGTTATCCTGTACAAACATTGTACACGAAGATTTTACAGTTGACTATACTTGCCTCTGGTGGGTACCTTTCCTCTAACTTGGAAGCGATGAGTAAACAAGTTATCCCAACTAACTGCAACTTATCAAGAGTAGTCTTCGAAACTGATATAAACTTGTCAATCAAATTCATCGCCAAAAACAATGTCTGGTCCAGTAGTTCCAAGTGACACTGAAATTAATTTGGATATGATTTCGTGCATTGATTACGAGCATGTTCCGTCCTTACAACGAAGACGCGCGGGTAGTCGTGCATTGATTACGAACATGTTGCGTCATTACAACGAAGACGCGTGGGTAGTCGTGCATTGATTACGAACATGTTCCGTCATTACAACGAAGACGCGTGGGCAGTCGCGTTGTGTAGTCACCGAAAGCGCTGTCCCAGCACAAACCTGTGTCATATGTTCGCTGGTTCCCGGCGTTTTTTGCGAATGGCAGGTAGGACGCAGGTAACTAGTAATCGCCATATTGTTCCATTTGGGCCGGTTTTCCGGCCGGAAGGAACGCGACTGGGTGACGTAATTTGAAAACATTCCAAGTTGCGTTTTGCGTAAACGTGTCTGTAATGCTACAATAAAGCCATGCTCATACATACTGCCTGCTTAGATTTACAGATTTGATATGTTCTGTGCTAATTTATAACAAAAGAAACAATTCTTTTTATTCGCCCAACTTTCGAAAGCAAAAGGAAACCCCTGAACGGCCACGAGCGTAAGCGCTGACGTCAGGTAACTAAGGGAAATGGAACAAGCAACGAGAAAGTGATGTACCAATCAGAATGCCGGAACCGTTGCTAGTTACCGGCCTCTTGTGGCTTGGTACGCCATGACACTTGAGGCGGGAACCAGCCAATGTCATATGACAATATAATTAGACATAGTCTTTACCTTGCCGTTTATTCGGTGTTATTTGCTTACTTTACTTCCTATGTCGACAGCAACTATGAGTTTAAAAATAATGTCATATGACGCCTTACTAGCCGATTTTGGCTAAAATTCCGCTCCGCCGCCTCTTTACAACAGTATTCATACGCGGAACTTGATATTGCTTTTAACAATTTGGGTTGCCTTTGAATCACATATTTTAGTGAAATATTGTTTATAGAGTGAAAATATTATTGAAAATAGAACGTCCTTGAGCGCAATAAAATCACGCGTAGAACTCCGTCCGAACCAGACTCTAGCAGCGTAAACTTATTGCAATTTGCGCAATTTGGGCCCAGTTTGTTCTTACAAGTTTTCTAAGTTTCATTTATCATTATTTAGTAAACAGGTCTCTGGAACGATTAAATATATCCGTAAAATACGTGCCAATCGACGATTGACTTCGAAACGTTCGAAATTTCGAACAAACTCCCGGCACACCTTGCGCGATATGCGTCAGATCGGTGAAGAAGACGCCGAACTGCAGCGTCAATGGGGTAGTCGAGCATTGATTACGAACATGTTCCGTCATTACAACGAAGACGCGTGGGTAGTCGAGCATTGATTACGAGTATGTTCCGTCATTACAACGAAGACGCGTGGGTAGTCGTGCATTGATTATGAGTGTGTTCCGTCATTACAACGAAGACGCGTGGGTCGTCGTGCATTGATTACGAGTATGTTCCGTCATTCCAACGAAGACGCGCGATTAGTCGTGAATTGATTACGAGTGCATTGTCTATATTTGCTTAAAGCTGCAATATGATCGAAAGATTTGACACTACATATTGTATTTATGACCAAATGATTTATCGTTAACTAAATAGGATACTGCTTTGAACAACGTTCTACGTTTGTGATTAATCATAATTATATTGATCCACTTGCATTATTACATGTTCTCGATCATTGCGTAACGTCCAATACCTTAGTCAACTTGTCAGACACACAGTAACTAATTACCCACAATTATGAACGACGCGCCACTAAGATCCAAACTTTTCCTGAAGCGATAACTATCCCATGAATAAAACGTCACGCGTAATTTGGTTAATCCAAATGTATAAAAGATGATCATTCAAGTTTTGAATTGCACGTGATGTAAAGGTGGGAAACTTGTTTTAACGCAAACTGTAGCATTACTAGTTATTGTGGGTATCATAATCATCGATCAACATGTTTACATTTGTAATGGGAAAATTAAAGTGCAACCTCTACTGCGATAATATGATGAAGTACAGTTACTTAGAAATTACTCAAATTATAGCCAACAAAATAAAAATGAAACAAATCGTCACAACGTTAATTCCGAAAACTTGTTTTACTGGCCTTATCACAAATGCAGACCACAATTTAAATACGTTGACGAGTCTTAAACCGTACATTACCTGGACTTTAACCAACCAATCCATTAGTATTGCCCTCGAGTAGCTGTTAATTGGATTACCGTCACCTTCCAAGAAATTAATCGGTTGGCAAGTTACAATTTCCATCGTCTGGAAATAAATGTGAAGAAATAAACATCAAAGCTAGTAAATTGATTATGCCATAACGCAAAGACGTGCGCCTCGCATGAATGGAGCGTCTACTCACCTGTAAATAATGATAAATTTCGTCCGAGTAGTCGTCACAGGGCGTACTAGTTACATTAAGTGGTTTTGTCGACGATGACCAGGAGGATGAGGAAAAAGAGGACGACCTGTTAGATAATTCATGATCCATCCTCTCGTCTGAAGATTTTACGTCAACGTCCATCGTGGAGGAGTCGCCTGAAATTAGAAATAATGGTCTTTCAAGTTATCGAGCCGTTTTGTTAGCTGGTACTGACTAAAGTCATCGTCGGTCTGGCGCCAGAAGCATGGGCATTTAGAAGCACTGGTTTAAACAAATTTCAGCTCTTTCAGTTCAGGGTCCGCTATATACATAACCGAAATTGATATCCTCAAAAAGGGAAACCTTACCATCTCGATTGTGTAACGATATCTTCGAATGTTTTTTTAACAGCTTCAGTGTCGCCTTTATCCCGGCCTTCTTCGGACGAGAGGATTTGCTAGTTTTATCAATATGTTCCTTGCCTGGATGCTGCTTAGTAACCATCTTAGACGTGGATTTGTCAACCCAACATTCACTGCTGTTTTTTGAAAGCTAAAAAATATACAACATAATGTGAAAGTGTCACTGTTATCCTGTAATTTCGATTAACAATCAAATAGCTTATATATAACGTCACGATGTCTGCATGAAATGCCGCAAACACTTGTCTGGAGACATAACCAAATCGAAACATTTTCTAATGCGTGGAAATTAAGTGATCGTGATTTACTCATTTTTCCCCAATTATGCAAACAACCAGTCTGATTTTGTATGTGCGAGTCGAATGCCTATAACATACGAATTGGGCGTACATCCAACTCCCGATTCTGACCATAACTTGTTTCCAGGCACTTTTGGGGAAGATCAAGCTATACTTGTCAAGTGAAACAACGTTTAGAAAACTATACACAATTTTGTATAAGCAGGACAGTAATGGAATATATATGGAGTATATTTATTACAAGGTAAAAATAAAGTTCGGCCTGCAGCACCACGACTACATTTCACACAGTCCGGGTCCAGCTGAGCGAAACCAGGACGGGCAGATCAGAATAAATATTTCTAAGGGCGCATGTAGCAATGCAAAACACTCACGTTGAAACGTGCCCATTTCTCCAGGTTGTCCGTACCAGTTGGAGGAATGTTTTCGGCACCGTTGACAGGTGCAATCTTCCGGTTTTTGGGTCTTGTAGACGTTTTACCCACTGGCATAGTTTGGCAGCGGAGGCGCATCATGGTAATTTCTTTTATAACCTATTATATAAAACAATTTTAACATCTTTGTTTAACGGCTGATAGGTAATGACGTAGTTTGAATAACCCACTCCCCAGATAAGTTTATTTTATTACATGCAATATGACTGGTCCATGGTATTTTCTTTTTTATGGCGCGAGAGGTTAGAATAGTCAGCAAATTTAACGTAAATGAAAAAGAAAATCCGACGAGTTTGGGAGTTGGTTTGTTAACTAAAAACAGTTTGTGGCCCAAGACAGATTCCCGTGTCATATCGCGATGAACAGCTGATTTGATTTGCGAGACTTCAAGTAATCATAACAAAAATCGGTCGTCTATGAATCATAGAACCCGCAACGGGAACAATTGAAAATTTCATATCGAAATTAATAATTAAGAAATATTCTCGTTGGTTTTAGGTTGAGATTGATATGCAGTACGGCTACCTAATAATGGCACACTGCCTCGATGTATGATAAATACAAAGAAAAAGGACTTCAAATAATAAACTATCAAGGCGGATCCTACGCCAAACCTAGACGTTACGACCACGGGTAGGAATATTTATTTACAAATAAATCTGTGACGCGATAGCAAGTTTTAGTAAATAATTATAAATACACCATGCTTGCAATGTGCTAGTCAGTTGACATTTATTGTGGAAGTTTTGTGGCAGAAGTCTGGGATGATGTCGGTTGAACCTTGAGTTTATTAAACGCATCTCAAAAATATGTCTGATATTTTTAGTAATTAATGTACTACACTATGATTGTTAAACGCTAATACAGTGTTTTTATTTGTAGGTTAATGTATTGCGTCAAGGCGTGTCATTATTACCATCCAGGATATTTCTATTTTTTGTCATCATTTCCCGTCCCTTTGTATCACCTAATCAATTCAGATAACTGATAATCTCGAGAGGGACGTGTACAATTAAATCTGGAGGTTAGAGGGAGGTGGATAATGGGGGATATGAATAGGATACAAAAAAATGTATTCCCACTTTACAATACGCATTCCCAACTTGTTCAAAGTTCAAAAGATACAAAAGCCTAAAAAAGTTTGTCAGCATTACTGGTATTTCAAGCTGTATTCTTCAAGGGTGAGCGCAAACAGATTATCATGAACACCGAGCTTTGATTGTAAAAATAAGACTCACCTCGACAGTAAATTATCAGATTGAGCGAAAAGGTAACACTTCCACGGGGACTGACAGCCAAATGCAACAGATTTAGCTTTTCTCCTCTTCAAAGTTCGTGGATTCTTCTATGGTAGAGCAGTTTTGATTGAATGGTTGAATTTATCACGTCGGCATTCTACCTATCGGATTGTTCGTTACAATTTGAATCCACCTGTTGAACATTGAATGAATCAATTATTCGAGAATGGTGTTTCGTTGATATAAATGTGTACACGTGTTTCGGGCTTTGTTTCTATTGTTCATATAATTTACATATAATGTCTTTGCAGGTTGACGACGTTACACTGCATATTCACATTATTTATGAAACATTTATTTTCACATTTTGAGCATACTCATTCGGTTTTAATTTCACGACTTTGTAAGAAAAATAACCAATTGCATTGTTAATCTACATTTTCACATGGACCAGTGAATAATAATTAATGTTTTACAATAGTTGTAATAACAACGTATCGCCCAATGACATTGACATCCTGGTATAGTTGTAATAACAACGTATCGCCCAATGACATTGACATCCTGGTATAGTTGTAATAACAACGTATCGCCCAATGACATTGACATCCTGGTATAGTTGTAATAACAACGTATCGCCCAATGACATTGACATCCTGGTATAGTTGTAATAACAACGTATCGCCCAATGACATTGACATCCTGGTATAGTTGTAATAACAACGTATCGCCCAATGACATTGACATCCTGGTATCGTTGTAATAACAACGTATCGCCCAATGACATTGACATCCTGGTATAGTTGTAATAACAACGTATCGCCCAATGACATTGACATCCTGGTATACATCAAATGGAGTTTGGGCTTGTAAATTCGAACTCAGCGGTGATTCTTGTACCAAGATTATCATGATGACGTACATACTTGTGTAATTTTTTGAACTTTATATATATATGTATCATTTCTAATGTGCACATACATGTACTACCACAATAAGGCAATTCCTGACATAGAGAGCGCCATATTACACAAATATATGAATTTCGGATTATCCAGAGCCTTTGGTTTTAATGGCCATGATGGTCTTGTGTTAATACAAAATCTGCGAAACAAATAGGTAACGAGATATTATTCTTTAAGTACATCATAAAGTGAGATAATAAATTCTAAACAAACATACTGAACGCAAGTACCCGAATAAATGTCTCGCTAGGTCATAATCCATAGCGATCACATGAAACTGTAAGTTTTACAAAAACCTGAAAAAATGTTCAGAATCGACCCCCTAAAAATTTCAGTAAATGAGATTTCCCGAATGTTCAGGACGTCATATTTGGGGCTCTTGAAATTTCTTCAATAAATCTTTTTCGTTGGGGTCAGATATTAATTAAAACTAATTGATTAATTCATTTTACCGCCAATTCGTGAACATTACATAATTGCGCAAATAAATTTTGTTTTTTTCAAAGACGTACTACTTTTGTTGTTACTGTAAAAAAAATCGAAAGTTTTAGTGGTCACACCTTCACTCAGGTTAGAATAACTCCGCGCTAAATGTATCTTATCCTACAAATCTTGAAGAACAACTTCGTATATCTCGCTTGAATGTGGGCCCAAAGTTACTATTTTTCAATGCGGAGAAATTTGCCCTCGAAGTTGGGGTAACTTTTCGCCAGGAACGGCTTTTTAACTGTTCTGTGATTTTTTGACTGTGCTGATTTCATTCAAACTTGGCAGGCAGGCAGGCAGGTCACATCTGCACTCTAGAAGGGTGAACAAATTTGAAACAAAAAGAATAGTTCTGTCCTAATGTTGCTATGACAACGACCGAAAACAGCGCAAAATGTATTTTCGTGCAAAACTTTAAAAATCTCATATCTCATTCTAATTTGCTTGAGTGTGAAAGTTTCTATATTTTTTGTTGTTGTTGTTGTTGTTGACGCCAATGCTTTAATACTGGATTAACACGCGCATTCAGTGCTCGCCTGAATCGTTATTTACTCTTGACTTCATTGGTTAAAATAGCGGTGTTAATAAACCTCCTTAGAAGTCTATTGTCTGTGTGTCTGTTTAAACTTGATAAGGCTGGTCACACCAGACAAATTTGAAGGACAAAAATCAGTCCTACCATTACCATGGCACCCGATTTTTTTTTAGCGAAGCTGATCACGAATCAGCCTACTGACTTGTTTTGAAAGTTAGTAAACATTGTAAATGTCATAAAAATGAACATGTGAGAAAGGACAACAAAAATAGTGAACGTTCCACACATACAACATAATGTATTTTTGAGATGTTTATCAAATTAAAAAAACAATCTCAATTCACTATATTTACTACTGACATGGTTTATGGCATGATAGCATAGTGCTAACCTCCAAGGTTATAGGGAGTTAGAATTTATGTTATTTTGCTAGTTGTCAATCCAAGACTAAATTAGATTAAGTCACACAACTGTAACGATGTGACCAGGTTTCGCCCACAAAATAGGGCAAACATCATGGCAATTCAAAAGTATTTGACTTGTGTCCCAATAAATAATTAGGAAATAATTTGCCCCCTATCACCAACAAAATAATTGTCATGGTATGGATCAGAGCAAATGAACTATGACGTCGCGCGGGGTTCCAGGAGGGTTTCCCGGAACACCATTTATTTGTAAACAATCTGAGAATGATATTACAACAACATGAAAAATCTATCTTAGATATCAAAGTCTCTCTGATCTAGCACATAATTTAAACTTTGGCTTCCTTGAATATTTTGACATCTGTGTGTATTTACTTGTAATTGTGTCTCAATGTACTATTATGTGAGAATGTGAGAGCTGATCAGCAAAGAAACCACGCAAGCGCAGAAGTTCGAACAAGCTCCAACGCGGGAAAGAAACATGGCGGCCTTACACAACTTGACCGATAACTATTACTCCGAAAACTGTAACGTAAATGGGGATGTGTGTCCCCAGAAGATCAAACCCGGCATCGTCAACAAAGTGACGGTTATTTTAGGAGCACAGTGGGGCGATGAAGGGAAGGGTAAAGTGGTCGATATGCTCTCCGAGAAGGCGGACTTAGTTTGCCGGTGTGCGGTATGTATGGCACGTTTTGTATTTCATTCTTTGGCTCTGTGCCCGTATGTCACACATGGTAAATGCCATGACTCCCGATGACGTGTTACAAAATGCCGGCCGGCAGTTAACAGTGTTGAACTATGTAGGAAATATCAAGTCATCGATTGGAAAAAAATTACTCGTTTGTTTAGCCACAACAACATGGCTGAAATGATCGTTACGTAACGTGAAAGAACAGCTTCCTTTCACATTGGCCGGTTAGCTATGTGTACGTCATGTATATATATATAGTCTATATACCGGGTTTATCCTTGAATATAGCCAATGTTGCTATTAGGGGTGTAGTTAAATATAGTTAATTTAATGTTAAAAAAAAATATTATGGTTTTGCTACAAATTTGAAAATGATATCAAAGTTAGTTTTCATAATATCTATAATCAGAGGTACATTACTTGGGGTTTGCAACGCGCATAGTACTGTATGGTAACATCATGTCAAGATCCTATTCAAGTCTCTTCTCGTAGATAGCGAGACTGAGGCTACGACCTTCTGACATGACACATATCAATGTTCAAGGTTTGTAATGAAAAAATAAACTTTTCTTGTCACTATCATAGTGAAAAATGTAATACATCGAAAATGTACAGAAAATATAGTTCTCGTAATCCGTCATATCGTGGGCAGCTATTTTGATCCACCTAGACATCCCAGTATCCTAGTTACCTCGGGCATGCGCATTCGCATTTTTGAGTTGGAACGCTTATGCGAGAGCGAGATTGTGACGGGATCTTGGTATCATGTCACCGTAGTTAAAAACCCCAAGTAATGTACCTCTGCTATAATACAACTAACTGCTAGTCATAATAAAAATAAGTAAAT